AAATCAGCGCAAGAGCGAAGGAAGTGCAGGGGCAGAGCGCCGTCAAGCAAGCCAGGAGCTCTGGAAAGCAAGCACCTCACGACAACGACACTTTGCGCACACGAGGTCCAGGATGCAAGCGCCGGGAGGTTGCACATGTACAGTACTTGCAGACCCGCGGGCAAAGCATGCCACACATGTCGTGATGGATTTACAAAACATACCTCAGGCCAGCACCACAGCTGAAGCCCGCAGTCACTCAAGCCAGCTGCCAAACTAACCGATGTGCTTGGCAGCGCATCCGGCACGGACTCCTCGCTCTTTATTGCGTTCGCAACATGCACCGAAGCTACCTCACACTCTCTCTCACACACATATGTTGGCGCATTGTGTTCTTGATCTTTCGTACCAGGCAGGGTGAACTGCATGAGACGTGCCTGAACGAACAACATGCTGCCAGCGCTCAAGCGCTCTCCTTTTGCACTTGGATATCCCTCTCAACAACCTGTGGCAAGTCGGGAACCAGTTTCGAGGCCTCGCGTGTGTATTCTGGGCTAAGAGGGCTCACGACCCCACCCTTTGCGCGTAAGGGCACCCGAAATCGTCGTGCTTTCAGCTTTCAACCCATCCCCAACCAAACACTGGAACCCCAACCTAAAAGCCGCCGAAAACTTCCCCCATTCTTGACTGCACACACTCCACAACTCCTCGGTTGTTGCTTTATTTTCTCTTCTTTCCTGAAGCTTGGGGAGGAACCCCGCGCGGTTGCTTGCTCTCCTCCTCTTCTTCTTCTTCTTCTTCTTCTTCTTCTTCTTCTTCTTCTTCTTCTTCTTGTCCTTCTTCTTCTTCTTCTTCTTCTTCTTCTTCTTCTTCTTCTTCTTCTTCTTCTTCTTCTTCTTCTTCTTCTTCTTCTTCTTCTTCTTCTTCTTCTTCTTCTTCTTCTTCTTCTTCTTCTTCTTGTTCTTCTTGTTCTTCTGCTTCTTCTGCTTCTTCTGCTGGGCTTCCCCTGCGCGCGTGCGGCCCGAAAGTCCGGTCTTCAGTCTTGCTCTCTCTCTCTCTCCCTCCCTCGCTCGCTCGCTCTCTCTCTCTCTCTCTCTCTCTCCCTCTCCTCTCTCAAATCCGCACGGCAGGGGGGCGCACCGAGGTGCCCTTCCGTCCGAGATACGGTCTGAGATGCTGCACGTTTGTGAGAGCAGGCCGGTGAGGCTATCTTACAGACGGGCGTCGCCCCGGGCGGTTTAGGCTAGTAAGGCACGTGGCCGGTGGACAGCAGCGACACTTCATGGGCCTTCATGCAACCTTCAAAGCGTAAAGGATTCTGGCTTAGGGTTCAAGGACAAAGAATCAACACCCATGTTTTTTTTGGAGGACGGAACCTTCCCCCTCTATAGACATTTCAATTCCAGCCTTCTCTGGCCTGCCGTTGCTACGCATCCCCTGTGGATCCCCAATGCGTACGGACCTTGCATGGGCGCCCCTGCCCTTGGAATCTAGGGTGTTTTGGTTTTTTTGCCACCCGCCCAGCACTCGCGCTTTCTTGGGTGTTCGGGGTGTTGGCTATGACCACCGACTACCCTGATCTTTATGGCGTCGTATGGGGTCGTTCAGGGTCCTTGGAGCTGCCTCTTCGTTCACTCACTTCGAGTTCATTCCCTCTCGCACACAAAAATGCCCCCATATGACACCACAGCATTTCCAAAACGAAGGTGGCGATTCAGGTGCCGGGAGGTGCTAGCTAGCCGTACATGCATCTTCTCCATGGGATTATTATTATCCCTTTGCGCATCTTTGCGCGGCCTCGTCCGACCCTCTAGTGCACGGTCAACATACAACCTAGAAGTCAAAGCAGACAAACACAGTAGTCAAAGCATGAACGGATCCAACGCACGATCGGTGCACGCATCGGGTGTCCACGCCCATTTGCTGCATCGGAATTGGGTGTGGTCGAACTCCATGGGGCGCATGCTGTGCGAGGATCCCATCTCGTCACCAAGTCCGAAACGGTGGGGTATCCAAAAAATTGCAATTACATTCTGTTAGCTCTGGATTCCCTCCCCCCCGCCACTGTCAGGGACAATGGTCATGCGTATCGAAATGATTAGCGCTACATAATATCTTGAGGGGGTTCAGGGTTGCGTCAACACGTAGGGAAGCAATGCGATGCACTAAGCCCTGTTTTGTTTCCCTAAACCCCAGTCGGGGACCCCAGTTCTCCCAATGCTGCGTAAAGATGATGGGCGTTTCTTTAGGGGGATGCCTCCCTAAGGCCGGGTGCTAACTGAACAAGGAGGGCCACCTTGATGACTCATGGAGTGCTGCGGCACTCCGCCCTCAGAGTGGGCAGGGCCCGCCTCGGTGGGCCACGTTAGCATGCATATTTGCAGTTACAAACATAACTGCACCATGACACGATGTTGTCTTGGTTTCATATCCTCGCCCGTTTTCTCTCCTCCTCTTCTTCTTCTTCTTCTTCTTCTTCTTCTTCTTCTTCTTCTTCTTCTTCTTCTTCTGCTTCTTCTTCTCAGCGCCTGAGAACTCTCTCTCCCTCTCTCTCACTTACTCACTTGAAGTCCTGCGAAAGCTTGAGTGATGGCCGATGCAATGCTGCAAGGAATGTGACGAGCTGAAGCAGCAGTTGAGCATCCTCCTCTCTCAATCAGAAGTCCATCACAGATCTACCTGCACGGCAGCCCCGAACGAGAAGTCGCCTCTGCCAGCCGTGCAGTCGCGAGTACCAAGGTAGATTGCATGTGGCCTCAAAGCACTAGGACAAAAAGAGAAGAGACTCGATCTCTTGCACCCTTAACCAATGGCATGGTGTACAACTGACATCTTGGACTCTACGGACTCTCAGAGAGCGGCATGCGAGCACAGCCTGTGCCAAGGTCTCGCGATGCCGCGCAAATTGGGAGTCGCGCTGCTGAATGGTGGCAAATTCCTCAGGCTCCTGCAGTCGGGTCCAAGGCTTTAATAATCTTCGAGCCATCGGGACTGCTGGCCCCACAACATCGCGATTGGGCCCATACAACTGCACCTCCGAACCTCGTCATCATTTGGTCCGAAAAGAACTCGATCGACGCTGATGATGAGCAGAAAGTACGTTGCGGCAATTAATTCCGAGCACCCACAGCAATTGGGAGGAAGAAACGAGAAAGACAACAGCATGGTCACTCTAACAACACCAGCCTCACCATAAAATGCCGCCGAAGGAGTGGCCAGCCTCCCCCCTCCCCATTCCCATGTGACTCATGTAGCTCGGCTGCAAATGGCCCGCTCAACTGCAGCAAAGATGCCTGAGCACCGAGCTCAGCATGGCTTTTTGCAGTAGGAAAAGCCTCGCAGGAGCGATTTCGATGGCTTCTCGAAAAGCTTCCGAGTCTGTGCCCCTCAATGCGTCGAAGAAGCTCCTGAGGTAGGTGGAGGAAGTCCTGCTCCCAAGAGTCGGGAATGGTCAGTATGCCCTGCGCCAAAACCTCGGGGCAGAACCGACGATTAGGAGAGAGTAGGAGCCAAGGACACACGGTGAGTTTCGCAGGCCACGAAGCCAGCGCCCACATAATGTCTCCAGATACCCATTCCCACAACGCTGTCGGACTGGAGATGTTGTCATGGCCAACGATGCGGCCAAGCATGGCCAGAATCCAGGCACACCTTGGCCCGGTATTCATTGGTGGCAACCACGAGAGATGAAGCGCGGCTTCGTGAAACTTCGCGAATGCACCTTCCACTAGCCAAGAATCAAGGCCTGCAGCGCGCTGAGCATGCGCCCGTCTGTGATCTCAAAGGTTGCAAGTCGGCACAGGTGTACGAAGACATACGGCGCACAGAAATCCAGCTGGCTGCTAATCTCCTGCAACAATCTTCGAATTGCCATGCCTTGTGTACCAACTCAACAAGAATCGAATTCCAGCGAAAGACACAAACCAGTCGCTCCAAAGTATCAGGGCTCATGCTACACCAGCAAAGAGTAAGAAGCGCTCCTCAAGCACAGGTAACCAAGGCTCCGCAGGGAGTGCGCAAACTCCTTCCGCGATACAGGCGACGCCGGCGGCTACAGCCTCCAGGGAGCAGGGATTGCCACATCTTTGTCGTGTCGTGCTTTGGGTCGACGGTTGGGCCTGCCCCGATCACTAACAAAAGGCATGGCAGCATCTCCGGCCTGCGCCACTAGCACATCAAATTCCAACCTGGTCTCTTCGGCCTTTATCTCAGGAACTCCCGCTGCGATGCAGTCATCCTGGTGCCAGGACTCAGATTCCAGGACGACTCTCAAATCTGCGACACGCGTGTTCGTCTACCAAGCCCAATCTAGGCAGGCCGAAGCCCACTATCAGTCCTACAGAATTCATTGCATCGGGGCTCAGCATCACCACCCACGGCCAGGGCCAATGCCAGGGCTTGCTTCGTCAGTGCTGTTAAGGCCTCCCTCTGCTCGGCCGGGGACCCTTTCCAGCAAGAGAGTGATCATGCAAAGCGACGTATGGAAGCCGTGGCAGACTTTCTGTGTGCCACCAAGCCTTTGTTCAAGGCTCTTGTGGCACAGTCGCGGAGGGCATCGGCAAACGGAGCCCCCACTGCCACCTGGCACCAAGAAAAACAACAAACCTCTCGCGACCGGCGACCGGCCCAGAGTATGCGTACCAGTGCGTACCGGCCTCACTGTGAGTCAGCCGTAGAAGAAACGACACGGCAGCATCCGGCTGTGCATCAGGCCTTCAAGCCCAAGCAAGGCATGGCAACGCCGAAAGAAGCAGCAACATCCCCCAAGGCCTCATAAAATCTTGGCCGCGCAGCCATCTTTGCACTTGCACTGCATATTGCAGGATAGACAGGACAGAATTGGTATAAGGACAGAGAGAGATAAAGATTTTGGGCAGGCCGTCACCTGCTGCATCGGAGTACCCTCATGGCATGCTTCTAACAAGAAAAACTCGCGGCAAAAGGCGTGCACGTTCATCTCCAAGATGCTGTGAGCAACTGCCGGTAGCTACCGCACCACACAAAGTCACAAAGGGCCATGCCCAGGTGATGAGTGGATCATGGCCTCGTCTCCCAACCTGGCTTCGAGAGGCTCCGAGGGCTTTGCAGTGGCCGCCCAGCTGCTGCATAAGACGCGATGATGGCTTTGAAAGAAGGAAGGGTCAGCGAAAGGCTGGGACAGTTTCAGAAGTACATGCTACTGGTCGTATTCTGTAGGCTGCCACCGGTCAGAGCCTCGAGGTACTCCTTTCGTGCAGCTGCCTCAGAGGCATGTTTCTGCAACATGGACCGGTTGGATTATCCCCCGTAGACCCCAATAAGAGTGCAGGACGACGAGGATGTCATCACTTCCAGGAGCACGGTCTAAGGCTCTACTAGGTTTCTAGGCCCACAAGCGACAATAGTTCCCCAGAGTTCCCTGCATTTCGCGAGGAGCATGCGCACGGGACCGAGGTGGGCGCGCTGTTTTCCAACATCGTGCGAACAGCAAGTTCAAGCCAGAACGCACGAAGCTAAGCCATGCGAAGCCGTCCAACAGGAAAGCACGTCCCGATTGAAAAGCGCACGGGATGAGGCAGAAGCAGGATTCGGACCGCGGAACCCGCGAACGGGCCGAAGGTGCAAGGGCGGCCTGTCACGCCGGACGATGCCAACACTAAGTATTTGGCAACGAGAAGCCGCCACACCCGAATCCCATAGTCAAGCCCGTGCCTGGACGAGAGCACGGTGGTGACCCGAAACAAACTTTGCGCCGACGTGAGAGCTGCGTAAGCGGCCCGTCACATGGTCACCTCAACCTTATTCCTCCACAATCGCCTCAACCTAGCCCCCCTCACTCCCAACATTGCAATGTTTCTACAATGTTTGGGGAAATCTGTCTGGGCCACATACCTGCAACTCTGCAGCTGCACGAGTAAAGTCAAAGCGTCCGAGGCATGCACATCCAGCAAGTCTGGGAAGCTCTCGAAAGGCCTTTTCGCAGAGTCACGGTAACTGAGCAAACTTGTGGACGCATCTGCTTCTGCACGTGCTGCACCGCTGCCTTCAATGGAACGCTTGAGGTGGCAGAACCTTTTTTCGGCTCTAATGCTTTTACCAGGCATCAGCTCGAGGCGCTGGCGTGTCCTCGAAGCTGAAGCCAAGCCTTGTGTCCAAGCTTCACACGGCTGCACGGACTGCACTGACTAAACTGACTGCACTGCAGAAACTGCGGTGACTCCCATAGTGCCCAAGATCTCCCAAATCCAGCCTTCTCAGGTGTCTCAAGATCACCTTGCAGACAGAGCAGCCATGGAAGCAAGGGAGGGAAAGTTGAGCGGCCCCATCAAGCTCTGCGCCGACGCGTTCATCGGCAGATCATGCTCCAGGCCCTGTGCGCAAAGGTCCTCCAACAGCCATCGTATGAACCCAGTCAGCAAATAGAACAGTCGTGCCTGGAGAGATTCATTGAAAATCCGGAGGCCTCGGGCTGACAGATTTGCCACGAATCTTGCAGCCTCTGGAGCCGGGGCCCAGGCTTTCCTCACGGTCATACCTCGACCTCGCGGCAGGTGCCAGCACAGCTTTGGTGCGCGGAGGTCCTGAGTACAAAGCCCGTTTGATCCAGCTTGCAAACACAAGAAATCCAACAGCGCAAAAGTGTCTTGAAGCCGCTTGAGGCATCTAGCTTTCTTTTGGTCACACCCCAGCGTCGCCGCAACCGCTGTGCAGATCTCCGTTTGGAAGGTTGGAAAGCGGCAGACGCCTAAACGCTCTGGACTCTGTACTGTACAGAGGCTGCCAGTGCGTTGAGCTGCGGGCGGCAAAGCCTTCGGAGTTGCCGTCCTAGCCTATAGGTATAGCGAATTACATAAAGCACAAGCCCTTGCATCGCAAAGCTTGTCATAGCAACATTTTTTGCCTGCGCCTTAGCCTGCAACTGCAGCTACCCATGACATGCTGTCTCTTCCACTTCGTAGTTGCAATACGGAGACCTGGCAAACACTCAAAAGCTCGTCTGGCACATCTTCCTTGGCGAAGCTGTTGATGTAGGGAAGGATCTCATCCAAGCTCCCCGCAGCCTTTGGTTTGCCATGGGGGTTGGAGGTTCGTGCTGGGAGTGACTGACAGTGATAGAAAACTCGCCACGTTTGAGAGCAAGCGTCCAAGAGCTTCGATCGGTGAGCCAACAGCATGAGAAAGGTCACTATCACCTGGGAGATGAAAGAACTGCTTCTACCGCATGCGATGTAGGGAACTGAGGCGCAGACAAAACCTGCCAGCCCTTCCTGCGCACGGGTCTCGCACACACGACTGATGAAGAAGGAGCCATGGCAGCATGGAGATGAGCATGCAGCGAACACATAGCTCGGCATGTCCTTCTCCAGGAAAGGCACGATGTCTTGCAGAATGTCAATGGGCAGCCACTTGCCGAACACAGAAAGCCAGGCACTTGGAATCACCATGCTCAGGTCCTTGGACTGCCAGCTCCCGGCAACCACTGCCACTACCACCTCTTTACCTACTGAAGGTACAGTTTCCAGACAGGGCTTTCGGCTGGGATAGGCGCTATTTGGGGAGGGGTCGGGGGGAACGGTTGCTCAGGTCCTGGCCATCTGAATTGTCTGGTACAGGTGGTGCATGAGCTCGGGATCCTTGCTTGCCAGCATGGACTCCACGATGGGGATGCCTTGCTCCACCATAGGGAAGCCTGGTATCCACAGGTCACCTCAGGTCGTCGCTCTCGGGGCTCATGCGTTGTTCCACACGCCCCTTCACTTTGCAGCGAGCTGCGTAGCTTCTGCATCAGCTGACTGAAGCGCTGCTGCTTTCCCACAAGGTCGCCGTGACCCAATGCCACCACGGCAGCTGCAAAGCACATGCCCTGCGTGTACCCGAGATCTGGATCCTTTTGAGATCAATGGCCAACGCACAGTACTTTGTCAGATCAGAGTCTCAACACAGCTTCGAAAGCAGACCACTGCTGCAAGTCCTCACGCGCATAGGCTCGAAGAATCTCAGCGATGTCGATCCGCACATCGTGGACTTTGTTGTTTGAAGGGAAGACGCGGGACACATCCCTTGCAATGACAACCTGAAGAGCAGCAGGTGCTCAATTCCTGTTCAGCAAGCATCTTTCTCAGAGGCTCATAACTTCGCATAACTTCGCTACCCCGGCCATCCTCGAGCGCATTTAGGGACAGGAAGCCGCTGCTTCACTGAACCGGCTGTCAGCCAGCAAACGCGATGCCTCCTCTCAGGAAGCTTCTACTAATGCTGTAGGTAAAGAGAATGCGAAATAACGAACAGTTGCAGAACCTACAGCACAATTTCTTACACCATCCTCAAGCTGATCGTCGGCTGGAAGTGGGGAAGACAAGCAGCGCTTAACGCGACCTGCCGTGCTCTCGCGAAATCTTCTTCACGTGATACGGGCACCACAGGCTAAATTTCCAGCCAGGCTGCATATTGAGAAATTAGTCAGTCCAAAGCCTCCTCCCGTGATCGGATTGCAAAACATCAACAACAAAACCTTCTGCGGCACGCGTTCGCAAACTAAACTAACGTGGTTAATGATGTCCCGTTGCCTGTGCACGAATGGCGCTGCACGTTCGAACGGGCAGTCGTGAACTTGTCCTTGGCACATTGGGCATAGCTTCTATCCTTCACACAGCACCGGCTTTCTTCGAGAAGCCATCGGACAAAAAATCTTGTGGATTTCCAAGACTCAATGAGATCTAGCACGTTATGGTCAAGGAACACAAAGGGAATCAAAGGGAGGTCTGAGACTGGAAACCTCATCCCGAACCTCTTCCATTCTTAATTTCTGGGGGTTGCAAGAGCACGCACCCAGCCCGAACCCGAATCGTGAAGAAAGCCAACATTTGTCAACTGGTGTGGTCATGGGCTAAGACAGTGAGAATAAGTGGGCTGACTTAAGAATGGTCTCTACCAACTGCACCGCTCCCTCAACGAACATCACCCTCAAGAATCCTGAAACAAGGGCCCTTGAACTGGCAATGGTCGTTTGGACCCAGGTTCCAAACTGGAGCAGCTGCGGCCACGGCTGGGCTCGGAGTCCTCAAGGTCTCTCCCAGGCTGCCTCGGACTCTGCAAGAACTGCCGTGCACTGCGCACGTCACAAACCCTGGTATCTAAGGAAGTAGAACTGCGAGAGAAGTCATTTCAATGGTATTTCCGGCAGCTCTCGGTTTTGGCTCAAGCCAGCGAAGACACCTGTCTGATAAGTGTGAATTCTGAAAGGACACATTCAGAACGTACCTGCAATATCAGCAACGATCAATGTCGTGATGTTGAGGCACTGCAGTTGTTTGTAGATACCTAGAGCCTAATCCCCGAAATCTTCCTGTCTTGTCGTTCGCTTCAATGCAAAGATTCTCTTAATGAAGCAGAAGGAGTCCCCCCCTGTCAACCGATCTTTGTATGTGTGTTCACAACGGCTTTCGCGCGGTTCTGGCAGGGGTTATCCTGACCGAAACGGACTTGATCAACGACATGATGTAGTGGCCGATATTTCCTGATTGCCGTCACTCGGAGCTCTTTTTGCGGTCAAATTTCTCGAAAGCGTTAGCATCGTCACAGCATGTTGGAGCCAACTGCACAGAATGAGCTTGTACTTGAAGAAAGCACTGGAAGCTCAAAGATCAGAACTCACTCTCGCCCCCACCTTGGGCGGGTGGGCGGGTGCACTTGAGTATGAGACAGCGTCAGGGATGAGCACTTCGTGACTCTAATCTTACCGAGCACGCTCAATCAGATTGCCGTCACTCGGAGCTCTTTTTGCGGTCAAATTTCTCGAAAGCGTTAGCATCGTCACAGCATGTTGGAGCCAACTGCACAGAATGAGCTTGTACTTGAAGAAAGCACTGGAAGCTCAAAGATCAGAACTCACTCTCGCCCCAAATCTTCCCAAAGGCGAAGTTCACGAATAGGGAGGGATGTGGTGGGCAGCAGTTAACGCGTATGCCAACGCGGTGCTAAGCTTGTTGGGGTATATTTCCGCCCATTGGGCGCGCGGCCTTCCTCGCCAATTTCCTGAAAGAAGGACGTGCGGCTTCAGGGTGCGACTGCAGATTCCTGGTGGCCCCTGGCAGGTGCACGCCAGCCGGCGCAAATCATCTTCAGGAATATGCGCACACAGAAATGTTGTGGTTTTCTGCCAAGAGGAACCAAACTGGCAAAAGTCACCCTGCACGAAGCGAACCCAAGGCCGGGACTGGTGCCGCTGAAGTGCTGGGAGCCACCACGCCTTGGAGTATGCAGGATTCTCAAGGATGTAAGGTATCTTGAACTTGTCTAGCTCGCGCATGATGCGGAAACATGAGACAAAGCAACGATTGCCTAGGAGGATGCTGTCACGTTCGGCAGCGGTGAGCTTGTTTGCACTGATGCCCCAGGGTTCTGCGCGTGTCCTGATCGCCTTTGTGCGGTCACAACCCCGTCCGAAGCTGGCGCAAACTGGAGCAAGCATGCATGCTAAAACTCGACCTTGCCGGATCTCACGAAGGATTTTCTGAAGCACACCCTTGTTGGTCAAATCATGATCTGTCCCAAAACGGATATCCCAAAATTTGGCGTTGAAGCCAAAATGTCGCACTGCACGACCGACTCCTCCTTGGCCGGAGAAAAGATCCATCACATACTGCCCAGGCCTGCGATTGTGGCAAAAAGGGGGGCTGGTTTTCGCCCCAAAAGAATTGCCCCAAGGTCTTGCTCGCAGAGCGTGGCGTGGGTCTTGAAACTTTCTGGTAGGGACTCCCATGTGCTGGCCAGCCTGGCGCTCTTTTCGTAGCGCGCCACGCTTTTGTGCGCTTTCCACTGCCCGCGCTTCTGCACCTCCAAGAGGCTGCGGTATTGCCGAGCGCGGTCGATGGAGGGACCCGAGTGCCGTGTCTGATACGGCGTCACATCCACACCAAACATGTCCGAGATTTGCTTCATCATGAGCTGGTACTCTTGGTAGTTGAAATCCCAGAGGGGTGCTGTTGGGTGGGATTGCTTCAGACAGTCGAATAACGCGTGGCTCCAGCCTTTCAACCACGGGCTGTCCAGAGGGATCGAGACATCGTAATCCCCCGTTTTCGTGGCTATCTCCTCCTCCTCCGGCGCCAGCAGTAACGACCAGCTGCTCGTGATCCCTCGCGCGGGCCGCACCAGACTGAACACTTTTGCCCGAAGGAGCTCCGACGGCCTGGCGTAGGTGCTCACAGCAAGGAGCATGAAAAGAGCCATCCTCAGGCATCCTAAGCGCTTCAGCTCCACCGCAAAGGCTGCCCACAAGGCTAAGGGGTAGGCCAACCGGGACTTCCCCGGCGTCAGCCGTCTGTAGCCCTTGAGCGCTCGCCAGGCCCGCGGCAATTTCTGGTCCCCCAACCGGCCAAATTGTGGGAAGCGGTGGAGAATGGCAGCCATCAACCTGTCGGCTCGGTAGCTCTGATGGCCGTCCAGATACATCCGGTTCATGTAGTCCACGAGAAGCCCGTCCACTATCTTGGCATTGGTCATCACCAATCCCCGGGGCTTTGCAAAGCTGAGGAAGGACTGAAGCTCCTTCTGGTACTGCTTGGAGGTCGCTTCTCCA